TCGGTGGTTGCCCAGGAGGCAGCAGGGCCCAGGCAGTGTCAGTGGAGGAAAACGGCCAAGGAGTAGAGCACCAGCCCCACTGCAGCCTACCACCACGGCCAGTATGGTCCGGGTGTGCCGGGGAAAGTAGCAGTCACCCATGGGGAGTAGGGGGGGGCCAAATTTTCCTACTGGCGGTGTGGCAATTTTCGTCAAGTTTCCCGATTAAGTAAACGAACCCGATGTCGACTATGTGGCCAAAATCAAGCGTGGCCAGGGGGCCCATGTTGGGACTACACGTTGCATCACATATGCAAAAATCCCTTTTTGGGTGGCCGGGGAAAACCGTGAAAAAGACACCGGTTCTGCCTGCCCCAGCCCCCGCTCCATCACCCGCTCCGTTACTTGCTCCTCCCCCCGACTAAATCGCCCTCTATACCCATCAAGGCTCCAACACCTCTGCAGGGGGTTGTCGCTCTTTGGGCATCTTCCCGCTGTTCAGATGCTCCTTCTCCTGTACTCCCTTAAGGGATTCCGTCAGCGCTTTCTTGGAACCCTTTTTCCCCAAGAGACAAATTTGGCGGCACGCACCCGACGGTGCAAAAGCTAAAACGCCCCCTGTCCAAGTTGCGGGCTGAGTCCCTCCCTTTCCAAGTGGTGGACTCGCCCCTTTCGAGAAAAATGGCTTTGCCACCCGCGGTGGGGTGGTCCATTTTTTTCCCCAAAAGGGGTGCCGTGCTTTAAATGTGAGTGGTGGGCCAGTCTCTTTGAAGCATGTTCCGTCTCGCCAAAGTGCACGGCAGCGGCCGAACGTGGTGGAGCTGTAACTACGGTCAGGGACAGTACATGTCATTTACGGCACACAGGGTGAACGTGGTGCCGGCCACAGCTGCAATCAGCAAACTTGGACAGTCACGACGCTTTTGCCTCCATGTTTGCACGTCCTTGGTCCAGCCAAACATGTCCGCCTCTACCACCTCTTCTTCCGGCCGTGTCCTCAGCCGCCAACCCCCGTGCCAATCCCATTACCAGACCGGCATAATCACCATGTGCAGGGCGCAACTGGTGTCACGCTGTGCTGCACCTGGTATGCCTTGGCGAACGTAGTCACACAGGGAGGAACTTCTGAGTGTAAATGAACAGAGAATTATCGAACAGCATGGCTGTCCTCCGCGCAAACTGAAAATCGGAACCATGTTGACCGACAACGGAAAGAACATGGTGTCTGCTCTGAGTCAAGGAAGGTTGTGCCCATGCACCATGCATGGCTTCACATGTGTTCAATCTGGTTGTCAAGCGGTTCCTTTAAAATCCACCATCCCACTGCAAGACATCCTTAAAATGTCACGTAAACTTTTTTTTTTGGCATGCATTTCAGCCATTTACCTACTACCGCAAAGCACACCCTCCTTGAGCTGCAGCAGCAGAACGGAATTCCACAGCATCGCCTGATCTGCGACGTTTTGCAACAAGGTGGAATTCAACCCTACTACATGTTAGACCGCCTTTTTACGAGCAGCGAAAGGCCATCACCGATTTCCTGATGTTACATGCGGATAAAGGTACTCCCCTGTGTAACTTCGATGTCAGCCATTGGCAGCTCATGCGTGTGACACCTGCCGCTTGCTCAGGCCCTTTGAGGAGGCCACGCTATTCGTGAGTCGGCAGGACTATGGGATAGGGATGAACGACGTCATTCCTCTGTTGCGCACGTCCTGGAACAAATGCTGTTAACAATGGCTGGTCAGGGTGCTGGTAGACGTGGAGCACAGATCTCAACGCCACATGACCCCCTGTGGGGGCAGGACAGGAAGAAGAGGAGGAGGTAGAGGAGGACATTGGTGATCAGGAATTATTGAGTGAAATGGGTGGTTTTTCCACTCAGCGGACAGGAGTGGAGGAGCAGGAGCATCTGGTTAGAGAGGAGGAGGAGGAGGAGACAGAGGACCCAGACGCACGTCGAGTGCAGTATGCTGTGGAGATGGAGGCAAGGAGTCCCTCGCATTCCTTGGCACAAATGGCCCCATAGCATGTCGGTTGCTTGCGTAGCGACAGCCCCCGAATAATAACCATCAGACAGAGGGATGACTTTTGGCTGTTCCACCTTGTTGGACCCTCGCTACCGTTCAAAAATGGTGGCCTTTTTCACACCTGCTGAGAGGGAGGCCAAACACTTAAACCCCACATACATATAAAAACCACCTATGTAGTCAAGTTGGTCTCTGCCTTTTCTGCGCCAACGTCCCATCCTCAGACCACTGTGGGCCCTGTGCGCTCGCGTTCCGCTGCCATGGGCAGCAGGGGAGGGGTGGTGGGGTGGTAGGAGCAGTGGTAGCTCCACCAGCAGCGGCTGCCTCAGTCTGCAGTCGATGATGAGTAGCTTTCTTCACCAGCGCAGGAGGAAACTACTAACCAGCCCGCAGCAGCAGCAGCAGCATCAGGTGGACCTGGAGCAGGAGCTCAAACAACAGGCTTGGCCTACTTGGACAGCACCCTGCCAACCGAGGTAGACAATCCCCTTGACTACTGGGCAACGAAACTTGACCTTTGGCCCCAACTAGCTGAATTTGCCCTTGAAAGGCTGTCATGCCCGGCCAGTAGCGTGGCAAGTCGGAGCGCGTGTTTAGTGTGGCAGGAGGTATTGTAACTCCGCGGAGGACACGACTGTCCACCCAAAGTGTGGAGAGACGACCACGTTTGTGAAAATGAATCAGGCGTGGATTAGTCTGGATTTCAAACCACCAGTTCCTGACACAACTGACTAAATCCGCCATGAATCATTGCCCAAACATGTGCCACTTTCAGGTCTCCTCACACTGCTGCTGTGTTCCATTTTGTCTCAATAGGGTGCTGGCAGATTACGAGCCTCACATTGGTCTGCGGCCGAGGCCCCTACTCTGCCATGGGCCCCCGTAACCCGCCTCCTCACGCTACTGCCAGGTCCGCAGTGTGTCATGCCATGTGCCACTTTCAGGTCTCCTCACAAACTGCTGTGTTCCATTTTGTAATAGGGTGCTGGCCAGATTAACGTGCCTCACATTGCTGCGGCCAGGCCCCTAATCTGCATGGGCCCCCGTACCGCTCCTTCACGCTACTGGCAGGTTCCGCAGTGTGTCATGCCAATGTGCACTTTCAGGGTCTCCTCACACTGCTGCTGTGTTACCATTTTGGTCATAGGGTGCTGGCAGATTACGTGCCTCACATGCTGCGGCCAGGCCCCTAATCTGCCATGGGCCCCCGTACCACCTCCTCACGCTACTGCCAGGTCCGCAGTGTGTCATGCCATGTGGCCACTTTCAGGTCTCCTCTACACTGCTGCTGTGTTCCATTTTGTCAATTAGGGTGCTGGCAGATTACAGGTGCCTCACATTGCTGCGGTCAGGCCCCTAATCTGCCATGGGCCCCCGTACCGCCTCCTCACGCTACTGCCAGATCCGCAGTGTATCATGGGTCCTGTACGGCCTCCCATTGCTGCTGTCTCCAACGCCACACTCTGCCATGTGCCACTTTCAGGTCTCCTCACACTGCTGCTGTGTTCCATTTTGTCATAGGGTGCTGGCAGATTACGTGCCTCACATTGCTGCGGGCCAGGCCCCTAATCTTGCCAAGGGCCCCCGTACCGCCTCCTCACGCTACTGCCAGGTCCGCAGTGTGTCATGCCATGTGCCACTTTCAGGTCTCCTCACACTGCTGCTGTGTTCCATTTTGTTCATAGGGTGCTGGCAGATTACGTGCCTCACATTGTCCGCGGCCAGGCCCCTAATCTGCCATGGGCCCCCGTACCGCCTCCTCACGCTACTGCCAGGTCCGCAGTGTGTCATGCCAATGTGCCACTTTCAGGTCTCCTCACACTGCTGCTGTGTTTCCATTTTGTCATAGGGTGCTGGCAGATTACGTTCGCCTCACATTGCTGCTGCCAGGCCCCTAATCTGCCATGGGCCACCGTACCGCCTCCTCACGCTACTGCCAGGTCCCACAGTGTCATGCTATGTGCCACTTTCAGGTCTCCTCACACTCCTGCTGGGTTCCATTTTGTCATAGGATGCTGGCAGATTACAAGCCTCCCATAGCTGCTGACCAGGCCCCTAATCTGCCATGTGCCCCTGTACCGCCTCCTCACGCTGCTGCAAGGTTCCACAGTGTCTCATGGGTCCCTGTACGGCCTCCCATTGCTGCTGTCTCCAACGCCACACTCTGCCTGTGTTGTCACTTTCAGGTCTCCTCACACTCACTGCTGGGTTCCATTTTGTCATAGGATGCTGCAGATTACAGGCCTCACATTGCTGCGGCCAGGCCCCTAATCTGCCATGGGCCCCTGTACCGCCTCCTCACGCTGCTGCAAGGTCCACAGTGTCTCATGGGTCCCTGTACGGCCTCCCATTGCTGCTGTCTCCAACGCCACACTCTGCCATGTGTCACTTTCAGGTCTCCTCACACTCCTGCTGGGTTCCATTTTGTCATAGGATGCTGCAGATTACAGGCTCACATTTGCTGCGGCCAGGCCCTAATCTGCCATGGGCCCCCTGTACCGCTTTCCTCACGCTGCTGCAAAGTCCACAGTGTCTCATGGGTCCCTGTACGGCCTCCCACATTGCTGCTGTCTCCAACGCCACACTCTTGCCATGTGTCACTTTCAGGTCTCCTCACACTCCTGCTGGGTTCCATTTTGTCTCATAGGATGCTGGCAGATTACAGGCCTCACATTGCTGCGGCCAGGCCCCTAATCTGCCATGGGCCCCCGTACCGCCTCCTCATGCTACTGCCCAGGTCCGCAGTGTGTCATGCCATGTTGCCCAACTTTCAGGTCTCCTCACACTGCTGCTGTGTTCCATTTTGTCATTAGGGTGCTGGCAGATTACGTGCCTCACATTGCTGCGGCCTCAGGCCCCTAATACTGCCATGGGCCCCCGTACACGCCTCCTCAACGCTACTGCCCAGGTCCGCAGTGTGTCCATGCCATGTGCCACTTTCAGGTCTCCTCACACTGCTGCTGTGTTCCATTTTGTCATAGGGTGCTGGCAAGATTACGTGCCTCACATTGCTGCGGCCAGGCCCCTAATCTGCCAAGGGCCCCCGTTACCGCCTCCCTCATCGGCTACTGCCAGGTCCGCAGTGTGTCATGCCATGTGCCACTTTCAGGTTCCTCCTCACACTGCTGCTGTGTTCCATTTTGTCATAGGGTGCTGGCAGATTTACGTGCCTCACATTGCTGCGGCCAGGCCCCTAATCTGCCATGGGCCCCCGTACCGCCCTCCTCACGCTACTGCCAGGTCCGCAGTGGTGTCATGCCATGTGCCACTTTCAGGTCTCCTCACACTGCTGCTGTGTTTCCATTTTGTCATAGGGTGCTGGCAGATTACGTGCCTCACATTGCTGCGGCCAGGCCCCCTAATCTGACCATGTGCCCCTTGTACCGCCTACCTCACGCTGCTGCAAGATCCACAGTGTCCTCATGGGGTCCCTATTACGGGCCTACCTTCATTGCTGCTGTCTCCAACGCCACACTCTGCCATTGTGTCACTTTCAGGTCTCCTCACACTCCTGCTGGGTTCCATTTTGTCCATAGGATGCTGGCAGATTACAGGCCTCACATTGCTGCGGCCAAGGCCCCTAAATGTTGCCATGGGCCCCTGTACCGCCTCCTCATGCTGCTGCCAGGTCCACAGTGTGTCATGCCATGGGCCACTTTCAGGTGTCCTCACACTCCTGCTGGATTCCATTTTGTCCATAGGTGATGCTGGCAGATTTAGGGCGTCTCCCATTGCTGCGGCCAGGCCCCTAATGTGCCATGGGCCCCTGTAACCGCCTCCTCATTATGCTGCTGCCAGGTCCACCAGTGTGTCATGCCATGGGCCACTTTCAGGTGTCCTCTCACCACTCCTGCTCGATTCCATTTTGTCATAGGATGCTTGGCAGATTACGGGCGTCTCCCATTGCTGCGGCCAGGCCCCTAATGTGCCATGGGCCCCTGTACCGCCTCCTCATGCTGCTGCCAGGTCCACAGTGTGTCATGCCATGTGCCACTTTCAGGTGTCCTCACACTCCCTGCTGGATTCCATTTTGTCATAGGATGCTGGCAGATTACGTGCCTCCCATTGCTGCGGCCAGGCCCTAATTTGTGCCATGGGCCCCTGTACCGCCTCCTCACGCTGCTGCCAGGTCCACAGTGTGTCATGAGTCCCTGTACCGCCTCCCATTGCTGCTGTCTCCAACGCCACACTCTGCATGTGCACTTTCAGGTCTCCTCACACTCCTGCTGGATTTTCCATTTTGTCATAGGATGCTGGCAGATTACGGGCGTCTCCCATTGCTGCGGCCAGGCCCCTAATGTGCCATTGGCCCCTGTACCGCCCTCCTCATGCTGCTGCCAGGTCCACAGTGTGTCCTCTGCCATGTGCCACTTTCAGGTGTCCTCACACTCCTGTTGGATTCCATTTTGTCATAGGATGCTGGCAGTGATTACGGGCGTCTTCCCATTTGCTGCGGCCAGGCCCCTAATGTGCCATGGGCCCCTGTACCCGCCCTCCTCATGCTGCTGCCAGGTCCACAGTGTGTCATGCCATGTGCCACTTTCAGGTGTCCTCACACTCCTGCTGGATTCCATTTTGTTTTTTTTTTACATAGGATGCTGGCAGTGATTACGGGCCTCACTTTGCTGCGGCCAGGCCCCTAATGTGCCATGGGCCCCTGTACCGCCTCCTCACACTGCTGCCAGGTCCACTGTGTGTCATCGGGTCCCTGTACCGCCTCCCATTGCTGCTGTCTCCATCGCCACACTCTGCCATGTGCCACTTTCAGTCTCCTCACACTCCTGCTGGGTTTCCATTTTGTCATAGGATGCTGGCAGATTACGTGCCTCCCATGGCTGCGGCCCAGGCCCCTAATGTGCCATGGGCCCCTTACCGCCTCCTCCTCCGCTGCTGCCAGGTCCACAGTGTGTCATGGGTCCCTTTCTACCGCCTCCCATTGCTGCTGTCTCCAACGCCACACTCTGCCATGTGCCACTTTCAGGTCTCCTCACACTCCTGCTGGATTCCATTTTGTCATAGGATGACTGGCAGATTTACGGGCATCTCCCTATTGCTGCGGCCAGGCCCCCTAATGTGCCATGGGCCCCTGTACCTTACCCTCCTCATGCTGCTGCCAGGTCACAGTGTGTCATGCCATGTGCCACTTTCAGGTGTCCTCACACTCTGCTGATTCCAATTTTTGTCATAGGATGCTGGCAGAATACGGGCGTCTCCCATTGCTGCGGGCCAGGCCCCTATAATGTTCCATGGGCCCCTTGTACCGCCTCCTCATGCTCTTCTGCCAGGTCCACAGTGTGTCATGCCGTGTGCCACTTTCAGGTGTCCTCACACTCCTGCTGGATTCCATTTTGTCATAGGATGCTGGCAGTTTACGGGCCTCACATTGCTGCGGCCAGGCCCCTAATGTGCCATGGGGCCCCGGTACCGCCCCGTCCTCACGCTGCTGATCCAGGTCCACAGTGTGTCATGGGTCCCTGTACCGCCTCCCATTGCTGCTGTCCTCCATCGCCACACTCTGCCATGTGCCACTTTCAGGTCTCCTCACACTCCTGCTGGGTTCCATTTAGTCATAGGATGCTGGCCAGATTAACGTGCCTCCCATTGCTGCGGCCAGGCCCCTAATGTTGGGCCCTACCTTTTTCATGGGCCCCTGTACCGCCTCCTCACACTGCTGCCAGGTCCACAGTGGTGTCATGGGTCCCCTGTACCCTGCCTCCCATTGCTGCTGTCTCCATCGCCACACTCTGCCATGTGCCACTTTCAGGTGTCCTCACACTCCTGCTGGATTCCATTTTGTCATAGGATGCTGGCAGATTACGGGCGTCTCCCATTGCTGCGGCCAGGCCCCTAATGTGCCATGGGCCCCTGTACCGCCTCCTCATGCTGCTTCCGTCACAGGTCCACAGTGTGTCATGGGTCCCTGTACCGCCTCCCATTGCTGGCTGTCTCCATCGCCACACTCTGCCATGTGCCACTTTCAGGTCTCCTCACACTCCTGCTGGGTTCCATTTTGTCATAGGGATGCTGGCAGATTAAACGTGCCTCCCATTGCTGCGGCCCAGGCCCCTAATGTGCCATGGGCCCCTTCGTACCGCCTCCTCACACTGCTGCCAGGTCCACAGTGTGTCATGGGTCCCTGTACCCTCCCATTGCTGCTGTCTCCATCGCCACACTCTGCCATGTGCCACTTTCAGGTGTCCTCAACACTCCTGCTGGATTCCATTTTGTCATAGGATGCTGGCAGATTACGGGCGTTTTCTCCCATTGCTGCGGCCAGGCCCCTAATGTGCCATGGGCCCCTGTACCGCACCTCCTCATGCTGCTGCCAGGTCCACAGTGTGTGTCATGCCATGTGCACACTTTCAGGTGTCCTCACACTCCTGCTTGATTCCATTTTGTTCATAGGGATGCTGGCAGAATACGGGCGTCTCCCATTGCTGCGGCCAGGCCCCTAATGTTCCATGGGCCCCTGTACCGCCCTCCTCATGCTGCTGCCAGGTCCACAGTGTGTCATGCCGTGTGCCACTTTCAGGTGTCCTCACACTCCTGCTGGATTCCAATTTGTCATAGGATGCTGGCAGATTACGGGCCTCACATTGCTGCGGCCAGGCCCTAATGTGCCATGGGCCCCTGTACCGCCTCCTCACGCTGCTTCCAGGTCCACAGTGTGTCATGGGTCCCTGTACCGCCTCCCATTGCTGCTGTCTCCATCGCCCACACTCTGCCATGTGCCACTTTCAGGTCTCCTCACACTCCTGCTGGGTTCCATTTTGTCATAGGATGCTGGCAGATTACGTGCCTCCCATTGCTGCGGCCTAGGCCCCTAATGTGCCATGGGCCCCTGTACCGCCTCCTCACACTGCTGCCAGTCCACAGTGTGTCATGGGTCCCTGTACCGCCTCCCATTGCTGCTGTCTCCATCGCCCACACTCTGCCATGTGCCACTTTCACGGTGTCCTCATACACTCCTGCTGGATTCCATTTTGTCATAGGATGCTGGCAGATTACGGGCGTCTCCCATTGCTGCGGCCAGGCCCCTAATGTGCCATGGGCCCCTGTACCGCCTCCTCATGCTGCTGCCAGGTCCCATCAGTGTGTCATGCCATGTGCCCACTTTCAGGTCTCCTCACACTCCTGCTGGATTCCATTTTGTCATTAGGGAGTGCTGGCAGATTACGGGCCTCCCAATAGCTGCTGCCAGGCCCCTAATCTGCCATGGGCCCCTGTACCGCCTCCTCACGCTGCTGCCAGGTACCACAGTGTCTCATGGGTCCCTGTAATTCGCCTCGCCTCCCATTGCTGCTGTCTCCATCGCCACACTCTGCCATGTGCCACTTTCAGGTCTCCTCACACTGCTGGTGTGTTCCATTTTGTCATAGGGTGCTGGGCAGATTACGGGCCTCCCATAGCTGCTGCCAGGCCCCTAATCTGCCATGGGCCCCTGTACCGCCTCCTCACGCTGCTGCCAGTCCACAGTGTCTCATGGGTCCCGGTACGGCCTCCCATTGGCTGCTTGTCACCATCGCCACCACTCTGCCATGTGCCACTTTCAGGTCTCCTCACACTGCTGGTGTGTTCCATTTTGTCTAGGGTGCTGGCAGATTACGGGCCCCCATAGCTGCTGCCAGGCCCCTAATCTGCCATGGGCCC